TTATAGGTAAAGAGGGAACAGCACTCCGTCAGCTAGAGGCTGATACAAACTGCCGCATCACGATACCCAGCAGGGACACTCCTTCGGAAACGATCAGGATCGTTGGACCACGCGAAGGCATTGAGAAAGCTGTGGCGTACATAAAATCTGTTTCGGAAAGGGAGGTTAGCGATCATTGTGCTGCTATCCGATTGTTTGATTAATTGACATTGCAATATGGCGTGTCGCTTCTACCGCTACCATATCACCAGTGATACCATATGCATCTTAATGTTGCGTGTTCGAAGGACGCTAAATGTTTATTAAATAATGAAGACCAAGACAAGTCGTAAAAATACAGTTATTGTATAGCATAGTGCATGCAGAGTAATTAACTACAATGTTTCCAACAGTTCTAGTTTCCGAAAGAGCATTCAAAGCTCTGCAACGACTCCGGACGCAAATTGTTTTTCTGCATGTGTCGTTCGACAAATTATGCTTGCAAGAAAGCATGTTTTTATATTGCTATAATTTTTGAAGTTCTGTTTGGTTTTTGTTCTCAGAAATATCAAACTTTCTATTTGAAAACGGGCGAAAAATGTACTCATAACTTTCCACTTGCATTTTTTTGCTTCAAACATCTCTCTTTAGATTGCTTTTATTACTATTTTCAGTCGAAACTGGCTACAGAACACATAGTCTGTCCGCGTATATTCTATCCCTTTGTGCGCGGACCTTTCAATGAGACCTACGACAAGCTCACTCAGGAAACTGGTGCTAAGATTAACATTCCACCAAGTCAAGCTAATAACGAGGTACTTTGTTCTACGCAGTGATTAGTATTTTCTAAGTAGCTTTCTAATCAGGTAATCGTTATAACGGGAGAAAAGGAAGGTGTGCACAAGGCTGCTGCGGTCATTCGTGGTATAGTAGCTGACAAGGTATATCTTTCACACTCATTTATGAGTATTAGTTGTGAGAAGTATTTATTTAGCAAGCAACTGCTAAATCTGTGACATGTACTGTTGCCAAAGCTCAGCACAGATACATCATAGGACAACAGCGCAGTGGTCTTCACACAATACTCAAGGAAACTGGCGTTTCTGTTGAGGTAATGATTAATTTTCGGTAAGATTAGACAAGCTAATTGTTATTGTTCAGGTTCCAAATGAGGATGAAAATTCTGATACCATCACCTTGCGTGGAGACCCCGCTAAGCTTGGAGAAGCTCTCGCTCTTGTTTATCAACGTGCAAGCTCTGTGATCACCCAACAGATTGTAGCGCCCAGTTGGCTTCACAAACATCTCATCGGTCCAAAAGGATCAAATTTGCA